GAGAGGCAAGAGTCTCTTCCCTATCAGCGTTAAAGTTATTGGGATCCATGAAACTCAATGCCACAACATGTTTCTGATAGGGTGGATAGCACAAGTCCTGGTGTACACGTGAATCTCAGCTTATTAACAGCCACAGAAGGGTGCAGAGCTAAGGGGTCGTGACCTATTTCTGTGTCATCATTATGTTGATAGAACAGGAATTCAACAAAAACTCCCTTTTTAGTGAAGTGTTGTCCTATTCACAGATATTTCTGTGCCCTTCACAGTAGTGCTGGAAGTATTATTTGCTCTCGTTACCCAGCTTTTTCCCAGCTGAATGTAAACTGTGAAGGGAGGCACTGAGAAGTGGAAGGCAAGGACTAACCAGGATTTTCTTTTTGTGTAATTTCAGAAAGAGTAAAGGAAATTGGGAAAGGTTGCCTTACACTTCTCCTCTGCAGGATGTCCAATGCCCCTCTGCTCCCCAGGAGCTAGGCTAGGCTCCTGCTGCGAGGCGTTATCTTGGTAAACGAGCTGCGGTGCCAGCAGTTGGCACTGAATTCTCAAGAGGAGATAGGCTGCTTCCTCCACCTGGAAGTCCTGTCACTCAGACTGGTTTTCCCACCAGCTGACACTGCTGTGCCCATGCGACCTTGTGCGAAGAGCAGAAGGGAATGAAGAAGGCATACTGGTGCTAGCATCTGCCACCTTCCAGTGGAGCAGTGAGAGCACATGTTCAGGTGATGATCTTAGAAGCCTTTTCCAACCTTAATGATTCTATGATTCTATGATTCTCGCTTTCACCACTGCAAGTCACGAGTGGCAACAGAGCGGGCAGACTCAACACTAGCCACCTAGAGTGGGTGTGCAAGAGCTTGGACACAGTTCCCACCATGCAGCCACCACTTACTAGGTTAACACGTCCGGGCGGGACAAGGTAAACTGTCCCAGGGTGATGGCTCGTTGGGAGGCGGGTCCCTGAGGTGCAGCTCACACCTGTGAGGTTCTGGTGGCCCAAGCACAAGCCCTGGTGCTGCAGCCACTGTGCTCCCCCAGCCAGCAGCCTGAGTACGGGAGAGAGAAGGACAGCACAGGACTGTTGTCTGAAGAGGCTGAGAGCCCCAATTCAAACTGCACATGGAATAGCCTTTCCTGGAAATGTCAGATGGTGCCACTGCCAAAAATTTCAAAGGCTGTGTTGTGTGAGACGCTGTGTTTGACAGAGTCCAGAAAGTGACCATGGACAGTGGGCTCAGGATTCTAGAAGTTTAGACGAACTTTTCATTCCTGGTTTATTTTAGTATAGCATCTGAGGCTGGAGTCTGGTAAGGAAGATAAAAACATTAATCAAACCTCAGAATTTCAACTTAGATGAAAATAATATGGTTCAAATATGCCCTAGGGAGGAATGCTTGACAGTAGTGAGGATGCCAGAACAGAGTTGGTGCAGCACAATGCAATATGCTGGCATGTGGTAATTTTAAGAGCCAGAAGTATCTCCTTTTAAACAATCTGAAATGCAAATGTGAAGCCTGTTTTCCCTCCTTGCTCTGTGTTTTCTTGACAGCCGCTGCCAGGATCCAACCACTAACTTGTCACCACAAAAATATGTCAATGCATTTGCAATGGCTGAGGCGTTAATCCCGACCGTCATGTGTATCCGTGTGCCTTCTTTACGCAGTCTTCAGGCCAAAGTATGTTTTCTCAGACTGATTCAGTCCTACCAATAGCCAGGAGGAGGGGAGGCTAAGGATTTTGCCTCGAGGACAAGATGCCCAGCATTACGCAGAAGGGTTCTGGTTGTATGCAAGGCAATTGCAAATAAAAAAATTGTCACAAAAATAAAGTTTGTCAAAAGACAAACACAGGTGATTGAAAGTAGAAATTTCCTAATCCAGTTCAGCTCTATGGCAAGGACAAGAACCTGATTTCCACCATACAACTAGGTTGTCTCATTAAAAGTTCAGGCTACAAGAAGATCAGAGTGATTTTAGGATCTCCTCCAGCATTGAGCAGGGACTACAGATTGTTTCCTACATTCTTTTCCAAAGAAATTAAAATAAAAATCTGTTATGCATGGAAATGGGGTGCAATTCATACATTAATAAGAAGTAGCAGTTGTTTGCTCTTTTAAAAAGTGCGGTGAAAAGAACAGCCTTTTAACTGACATTTGAAAAATAATAGGGACATTTTTCCTTTCTTCTTAATTTCTAGCTACTGAACAAGTATATTAAAATACTTCTTTCCTCCTGCTTGCCTACTCTTCTAGAATCTTATTGCTCCTCCCTACACCCTCCAACCTCTCTTGTTTTCTTAGTATCCTCAAAATTTGGAAGATACTGCCCTCCTGCCTTAGAAGTAAAACGAAAAATATAAAAATCCGTGAGGCTTAACATAATTTCTTATTTTTTTATTGAAGTTCCTTACCAACATAGCAAAACATTCTGGAAACAAAAATCTTAGCTGACATGGACAAAAAAAATGTATAAAAATGGACCAGGTACTTGTTTTGTTTTGTTTCACTTAAAGCTGCCTTCCCCAACCAATCATCCATAGGGGCTGTCCCCTGCAGACTGTCACGACCTTGTAAAGGTCATTTCACCTGGGTTTGCTCTGTGAACCACCTTGGTGAAGAATTCACCTCACTGCATCACAGGTTTGAGCTATATGAAGGAAAGACACTGCAGTGAAAATAGTGGCTATTATAATTGCATGACTTCCAGCGTTTCCTCTGCATTGCAAGTCACCAGCAAGAAATTGCTCTGCTGTTCAGGCAGCTGCTGTCTTTACTGTAGAATCACAAAGAGCCGTCAGGGTCAGTTGCTACAGCAAAGCTGATGCATATTTCCTTGGCAAACTAAGCTGAAGAGAGGTGCACAGCCCTGCAGCCTGTTTCGCTGGGGCGAGGAACAGCCCAGCACTCAGTAGGATGCACCCTGCTTACCCCTCGCCTGCAACAAGCACTGCATTTAAACAGGAGAGAGGTTAAACACGGGGTGAATAGAGTGTCCAGCTCCGCTGCAGTTACTGCGCTTCAGGAACTGTCACTAGCTTTCATATCAGAAGTGAGAGGCAGACGTGCAGTTTTATATAAAATGACTCTGAATGCACTTGATTTATGTTTAAATGCTTTGCTGAGTGGATGGCATGTGGAAGGAAAGGGGTGATGGCCTCATGAGGTGCATTTCACACACCGCTTTGGCAGCATATAATGTGACTACAGGTTGTGGTGTGAAGAGGGTGCCCGTCCCAGCTCCAGTCGGCACTGGGGCATACCCTTGCCTTTGCTGGATATAGACTGTAGCAGAATTCCTCCTCTGGGCAAGGCTTAGCAGCAAAACATGAGAGGGGTACTGGAGGGATTTAATTGCATAGCTTGCAAGTCTTAGTAGGAGTTGCTCATATATGTTCTGAGTGCACATGTGGGAGTATAGGTGTCTGGATCCTGTGTGATGGGATATTTTAAAACCAGCTGTAGTAATAGAAGTAGTAATACATGGACCTTTATGTGGTGACTGAAAACAAAAAAAAGGGAGATTTTGAAGAAAAAGAACAAGCTGAAAGGGACCAAATAAGCTACAGGACAGATGCCATCCAACAAATTACTTAAAGCTGGAACACTGAAAGAGTAAGCCAGTCTAAGCTGGAGTTGTTGCATTTCCCCTAGCTGTGAGCCCACCGCAACACCCACTTACAGATACTGCCTCACTTGGGATACAGCAATAAAACTTTGCCTTTTGGCCACAGAGACTAGCAGAATTATATAATGTTCTGTGAGTTTTCTATACAACAAAGGACCTCTTTCACAGACGCAAAGCTAAGCAAGAAGTCGTTTTGACATGCTGTCATGGGACAAGGAGGCTGGGCACCAGCAAGGGAAACAGGACCAGGACGTGGAAACACTTGAGAACGCAGCTGCTTTGAAAAGCAGCCTGCAGCAAGTAGCGCATCCTGAAGCTAGAAATGGGATGGAGGTGGACAATGTCTGGGAGAGGAGACAGAGGTGCCAGCACAGAGGTAAAATGCCAGGCTGGGTGGCACACGAAAGGGCAGGCACAGGGAAAGCAGGGTGACCTCCATGCTGCTTTCCTCCAAGAAAATGGAGTTTCCCTGTCTTGTCAGCATGGGTTATCGAACTAAAATTTCATGTTGCAAAACACACTCGTGCTCCTCGTGGCAGGACAGCAGCAGGATGCCACGCTCAGCCCCCGCCCAGCCCTCCAGTTGGGGCAGCTGGAGGTGGCTGTCCTGGCTCGGGGCATCCCTTGCAGTGACACCCCATGGGACAAAAAGGGGGGGCACTTCTTTGCCGTTTATAAGAAATAAAGCTGATAAGAGATCATACAAAAAAAAAAATGAAAGCAAAAGGTGAGGAGGCTGCATGCAAAACCAAAGCCACACTTGAAATCACAGGTGTCCTCACGGTAAGGGCTCAGGCCGCCGCTCCCTTCCCCACCTGCCTCCTTCCCTATTTATAATGCACCTGGGGTCTTCAGTCAGGCTGTTTTCTACGCACAGCTCTGTCACGTCCGAGTGTCTGGTGTCAATGCAGTGCTTTAATGTGCAGTGCACGTGCAGGGGGCATGGACACCTTCCCTCTTCCTCCCCACACACACGCTCTTCGCCGCTGCTCTTAGCGGCTCCCCTGAAGCAGCAGCCTTTTGCAGCGTGCCAGGACACAGCCCCTGTGCTGTTTCCCCACGGTCTGTGCCCTCCCTCCTCCTACCAGCCCCATCCTTTCCCTTAGCTGAAACTGCAGCTCCCGCTCGCCGCACCATGTGCCACTGTCCTTCCTTCCCTCCCCGCCATGTGCCACCGTCCTTCCTTCCTTCCCTCCCCGCCTCGCTGCTCGCTAAGGACACACTGTCTGCCTCCTCCGCTGCAGTCATGCAGGTCTGGATTACTGTGCACGCTGCTGAAGTCGAGCTCCTGTCGTGACCCAGCGCCCCATAGGAGGAGCAAATGAGCTGAGACGTCAACGCAAAAAATTATAGCCATGCGAGCTATCCCTGCGCTCAGCTGCTTGGAGAGCGCATACATGGCTTGTGTGACAGCGACGGCACACAGAAGCAGCAATGAAATGCAGTTAGCAATACAGCTGGGAGACAGGCAGCGAGGCAGGCACCGGTCCAGTGACTAAAATGATCCTACCGTGAGCCAGCCTGCAGTGCCTCCAAAAGTGGCTGACTACTACACAGGAGCTCGGCTTTCTTTGCAATACTCCAGTTGCCTCCGTGTGACTGCAGTGTGTGCTCTGTTTTGTTTTTGCTTGCCTTTTTGTTGCTTCCCCCCCTCCCCACCCGTCTCCCTCTCTCTCCTCCCGTGTCCTTCTCTCCAGGATGGCGGAAGCGGAGTTGCACAAGGAAAGGCTCCAAGCTATAGCAGTAAGTCAGTTTCATTTTACTTGCTCTTTTGTCCATCGCTGTGGGTTGCAGAGGGAAGGGGGGATTCCAGCGCGGTGGCTGGCAAGCCCCCGGAGAGCCTGGCGTTCGCGAAGTTGTGCGTGGAGCTCCCCATTTGGGAAATGAGTGGTTAAAGTCTGCTTTGCAGGATTTGTTGGAGAAAGAGGGCTCTAAGGAAGAGCGCTGAGCTGACACGTGCAGAAAGAAAAATGTGAATGCACGGTGGCACGCTTAAAAGATTGATGGTGGAGAAGAAAAGAAGGAGTAAGTGGGGAGGAGGGGAGGTTCCAGGAGAAAATCAGTACTCTGCTGAAAAGATATTTTGTCACAGTGGGAGCTTTACCTTAGCTGATTAAGAAGGTAAACAAAATGATCTTCTGCAGGGTGGTTTTACTGCAGAAAATAATTGTGACATTGCTAGTTTTTAGGACAATCCAATACAAATGCTGCCTTATCAAAATTGTGGAATTATTTGATCTACTACTGGAACTGTCAGCTCTATAGCTGAGCACACACTTTCAGACAAATTCCCTGCCGAGTGGCATCCTGGGGGGGGTAAAGTCTAGGCAGGATTACGCCCCATTTTAGTTAAAAATTTGTTTTCACATTTAGTACCATAGTTTGGAGTGAGCCATGGGCTCAGCTGGTGCAAACCTCAGAGGAACGTAGGCAGTGACACCTGGCGAGGACTGGGCCTGGGTGTTTAAAAACCACCATCATCCCCGCACGCAGAAATTGCCAGCTCATCTTCTAGCATGGCACAGACGCCGTCTCAAAAGGCCTGTGTTTCCGTGGGCACTGCCAGTCTGCCAGCCCCACACAGCCTGCCCTTGTTCGAGTGACACCCAGCTCTTCTTCGTCCCCGTGGCTCAGATGTTGATGCAGCTGTGCTGGTCCCAGTCGGATGGCACGGTCCGTGCCGGGGACCGCACACCTGGAGGTCTGAAGGGAAATGACAGAAGACGACAGGGCCCGCATGGGTTTTACGTTCCCTTCCCCGCTTCCCCCAGTGATCAACAGATGCTACGTTTTTACTGTAGCCAGCAGAGATTACAGATTTCCTTTGTAGTAAGTGGAATGGCTGCTGCTGCTGCTACTCCTGCTCCTGCTGCTGCTGTTCCAAGCTGTTTTCTTTAAGTCTGCTATTCCGCTAATAGGTCCGTGGAGATTTAAAATAACCAGATGTAAAACAAATAGATCAGTTTTTTTTTTCTCTAAAATATTTCCTGAAAAAGAGCAAATGGTATCATTTGATGTGGGGGGGTGGATACTATAACCGTTTAATTTTTCAGCCAGCGGAAAGTAGATGCATATTTTTAAGCTGGTTCACAGTTTGCTGTCAGCATAGGCATTGCCAAATCTCCAAATGGAGACACTGGGAACATTGCACTGGAGGCAACCCTTGCCACTGCCTCTGGTTTGGGACTGCTGTACAGCAGAACCATACTGCAGAGCTGCTCCACGCATTGCTGCTGTGCACAGCTCTGAAAAACTTCCATGTCTGCGTTAAAAAAATGGTTTGCATTATTGCTGCTTCTTTTGACTGCTATGTACCAGAACACCAAGCGGCACCCATTTCCACTCCACATGATGTTCTTAAACCTTTCACCAGAATAAATCAGATGCTCTGCTTCTTGGTGCTTTGTATTTCACACCAATGTTGCTATTATAGACATGAAATTTTTCCCTGTTATATTGCAGCTTTTTACAGTAAGTTCATGCTGGTATGAGAGAAGGCCTTCAGAATCTGGGTCTTCATTTTCTATATATGTTTACTTTTCGATTTCTCTTTCTGGCAACTAATAAAAGATAGTATAGTAATGTATGCAGTGAATTAGATTATTGAAAGAATTTTACTTCAGCTTCAAAAATACTCAGCCTTATTTTAACCTTGAATGTAGGTACACGAACTGACTTGTTTGCTTACCCACTCTGCAGAGCAACAGGTCTTCCATGTGAGCTCATTAGGTAACTTTTCTCCTGTGCTTGGGCTGCTGCAAGTGTTTGTCAGAACGCAGACAAGTTTATCTGTAGTGTAAGCTTTTCTTCATCAGGATGAGTGACATGACAAAAGTTAGGTGTCTTCTGCCACCAGTTGGCTAAAATAAGGTCAATACTCAAAACTTGCATGACCTACCTTAGAAGAAGAAAAGGGTGGTATTTAGGTTCAGCTTGGTGTTCCCTTTGTTTTAACAAGCTGCAGCATCTCACTCAGACGAGCAAAACCTAGCGCCATCACTCTTCAGTCAAGCTGGCTGAATGGTAGGCGTGTAGAAAGAACTGTGTTTACCACTGGGACGGCTACACACTGTTGCCTGTATACATGTGCTTGCTTCCATAATCACCAAGCAAATGAGCTTTCCAGGGAGAGAAGCAGAGTAAATTTTAAGTGTGCATCACTGAATATTTAAAGAAATTAAACCAAACATGGAAATATGAGTATTTGTACCAGAGGGCTGATGCCTTTTGAAAAGTTTGATATTGTACTTTGTTACTCTGACTAATCAGTTTTAACATATGCCTCTGGCACAGAGGCAAGAGCCATCAAAAGAGCAAAAAAGGGGTCTAACTGTTAGTGTATTAATCTAAACCTTGATGAACTTGAATTAGCCACTTGTTTTGCCAGCAGCAAGTACTTAGCCTCCCTGTGCATTCATTTTCCATCTGTAAACTGTGAACAATGGGCTTTGCCCTTGTCTCAGAGAGCTGTTAGGGATGCATGCAAGACTGAGGGGAACTTGGATGCTACGCTTTACCAGGGCTAGAAATAGCTAAATAAGCCTTTAAAAAATAGGATGTGTGATTCTAAAGAAAAAAAAAGCTTTAAATGAATAGGGTTTTAAGGCCATTGCACCTGTTTAAGCCGTGATTTTTAGATCTTTCTGTTTCTGAAGCTCCTAAAATTCACAGGTTGACGATAGCAAGACTCAGAGCACTGTGGCGGTCTGGTTTGCAAGGTGCAGAGATGTGAGCCAGCTACTGAAAAGTAACTCTAGTTATTTCTGCTTGGGAGGAAAACACAAAGTCTATGTCCTGGGGAAGTCCTATGACAGCTGGGAGTGGTTGGTTTTCTGACCCTTCCTTGAGCAGATGTCACTTCGCGTCTCCCCACTTGGGTACTATGTGTGCAGCAGGCAGATACTGGTAAATCCTGTCATGCCATACTGCTCACAACATCTGTTTGAGCCCGACCTTAAATCACAGCCACAGTGATCTGCTCCTCCACCGCTGACAGAGTCGAGCAGTGCCCATTCTGAGCGCTGCAGGAAGATGCTTTACAGGATGCAAACAAAAGGTTAAAAGAGGAGGATGGAAGCCATCTTCTCTATTCTCTCTGAGCTTGTTCCTAGAACACACTTCAGCGCCTGTGCCTGCTCCCTTCCTGAAGAGGGGCAGTGGGTAAAATTTTGAGTGAAAAAGGAAACATTTTTGTGGCTTTAAAAAATACGCCTGCTATGAGTTGCTCAGAAGTTTGGAATGCAAATAGTCCCAGAGGAAGCAGATTCAGTGGCCAGGGGACAGGTGAGCTAAGTTAATTTATCGCATTTTGGATAAATAAACTGTGTGGCTCCACAATTCATTATATGGGCCCCTTCTCTATGACTGCAGACATCACCTTCAGGTAGTAATCTAAACATGGGCAAGCATTTATGAAAAGTAAATATTTTCCATCACTTACCTAGTAGTCATAAAGCTGGGAAGTGGGGGCATGGAGTATGTATCGGTGCATCTGGGGTACAAATGCACACGTGACACAGTGAATATGTGTCACCTATATATCAGGTGAATTAAAAACAATCATTGAGGGACAGCACTGAGGAGAAATCATCCACTAGAGCAATAACCAGTGCAGGAGCTGGAGAGGGTGTTCAGGTTGAGGAGACATGCAGCCTAGAGATGCAAATGGGAAGATACTAAAATACTCTGATTTCCTAGTAAGTAAAAACAACAGTAATGCTAGTTACCAGTTTCTCTATGAGATTATGAGTTTTCTGAGCTGGATCTAACATTACTTAAATGTCATAAGGTGTTTGACTTAGTATGGCAAGACACTGCTGTTAAAAATAGTCCCCCCTGTATCAGCTGAGTATGCCTTAGATGGATTAAGGACCGGCTAACTGACAGGTCTCAAAAAGTTGCTGTTGATGAAGGAGATATTGCTGAACACAGCCTTGTTCCTTGGCTGCAAAGACAGGGGAGAGCTTACAGGAAGCACCTTTTCAAGGCTTGAAGGTGTTCTCTGCTGGTACTTTGATGTAAATGCAAAATCAGTGCCCATGTAACATGAAGAGTGGTGGAGGAGTAAATACAACGACAAGCAGCAGTCTTGCAGAGCAAGTTGGGTTATTCGGTAAATGGGGTCCTCCATGTAAAGAAGTTCTTCGCACCAATACGCAGCTGGTGTGAAGACAGGCCGATGCAGGGCCACGCATCCAGATAGAAGGGAGTACAGGCCAGCACCACAGAAGAGGGCTCTGCGGTCTGATCAATGCTGCCTCCTGCAAGGCACTAGAACCAGTGTGGGAAGTAATTCAGTAGGGTTGAGGAGGGGATCCTTGTCTGCACAGCAGATTAGCTTCACACCAGTTAAACCTATATGAGGTTAGGCTTTAGAGTCCTCCCAAAAGGGAGGCAGGTGCATATATGTTTACATATAACACTGCATGAACTTTTCAACAGGTATTTGAGACTAGTAATACAATTATCTTTTGGAAAGATGGTACCGGTACAGTTTCAGTATCATAATTGCTGATAATCTAGACAGTCTACATTTCTAGATTGGACACTCAGCAACTGCAGTAAGCATCACGCGGTGTCCATAAATTTCAGAAAATTTATTGACAGAAAATCCAATATCTCTTTTTTTCCCCCATGCACTCATTGTCTCTTAGGCCACAAAATTAAAACTCATGACTAGCAGATCTTGTGCCCGAGGTCATTTTATTGTAACATTCCTCCACAATTTTTGTGAGTCCTTCCAG